GTAACGACCAGTACCATGCAAAGCATGCCGTAGTGGAAGCACAGACCAAATAATGGTCTGTGCCGAAGGAGGGTGCTCCCATCCCATGCGCATACGACTTTAAACAAGGAAAAATTGATCGAGGAAAAAACTGATTTGGTCACTTTTTACTTCTAATGCAATACAAGAAGAACGAATGCCCAACGAATGGTCAGAAATGTTTGTCGTACGATCAATGACAAAATGTCACCTACCGCTAGCGAAAATCTCAAGTATCTACAGCATAAGTAACGCTGTCAGTGAAGCTTCAAAGTTCGAAACGTTTTTTTTTGTGGGGGAGGGGGCACCCGGTAGTTATTCCAACTACAGATAAAGCATTACATCGCTTCTGCGAGGTTGTGTTGCACAGAGGCAAGGCAGCCACTAACCATATCACTATGACTGAATGGAATCAAAAGATGTGAATAAACTAGGTTTATAAACGGTTTTCTGCTTAAAATTATTTGCTGATAAGTATACCTACTCGTACATCGAGATATATGTCAGTCAAAAAAGTTCGAGGTCATCGGAGGTAGAAGTTAAGAAGATGTAAAAATGGAAAATGAATAAGGAGGAAATATACTTATAGAAATTCCTCTTTAATAAGATATTTGACAGTTATTAGTGCCATTTAGATAGATAAGAGCAGGTCTGTAAAGGGAAACATCTGTACATTTTTAGAGGAACATACAGTGCAAAACACACCTACAAGTAATTTGGTTTTTATTTTCGAAATATTGCAGCCCGTTGCCAAAACCACTATTCTTCCTCAGTAGACAGTTCCATCATCAATATATCATCCTGCATGTTTGATCCCTCTGCTTTCACTTGAGTACGTTTCCCTTCTGTAAGTCTTACTTGCTAGAATTCAGATCGCGTTTACTGATTTAGGTACCTCATTTATGCGTAGTCGAACTCGGATTTAAAAATCTAAATCTTATCAGCATATGCAAAACTGATGTTTGAGTGGTTATTACAAACTGGTTATGACAACTCTGCATTACATCTTTGACATAAGGTGTCAAGAAAGCCGACCCATTTCGTCATGAAAAGTAGAGAGTCATTACTTGGTGCAATAGTGTAGTAAAAGTCAACATGCCTAATAATGTCTTAGTTCAATCATCAATGAAGAACTACCGATGTTTGAAACATTTAGATAAGTACAGGGATGTTCACAAAAAACTGACACATTTTATTTCCGAATAACGAGAGAACACTTGCCCTCAGCACGGTGATCATGGTATGGGCAAATAGAGTGGACTTCTAAGTTTTAATTGAGGTATTTTTGGGACTTATAATTTTCCTTTCTAAGAAGTTACATCACATTTTGCAGATGACGAGCTTTTGGAACAGTGCACGACTCAGCCCAAAACAGAACATTATCCCCCGTTTACAGGCACGCGCCTGGATAATTGCGACACCTCCCACCGCACTTGTCAGGAGTTTTGAAGTCCTTTGGGCCGCTGATACAGACCATGTCACTCACGTGACCTCACAGGAAAAGACCACGGTGTTGAGGTAGAGAGAAATGGCCGGCTATGGGTGAGAGGTGATGCGCTAGATAATGCCCCCTCCCCCCGTTCTCGTATGAGACCGATGATCGCGGTTACTGAACGTGGGGTGGCCCCGACGTGCCAGAACCACCGAATGGTGTAGGTGTCGGCGCATTTCCACTTCAGCAGCTAACGGGAGCCGTTAAAAGATGGCTCGGTAACACTCTGCAGCCCTGTCAGCCTGTGGCTATGATTTATGACAACAGCACTTCCATACCCACCAATCTTGGCGTTCCTTAGGAATTTGCCAACAATATGCCTTAATAGTATAAAAATAATCCATCGAAAAATTAATCTGCCAAATTTTAGACGAATTCGTGGGCTGGTTCAGTCTTGGTGGCAGATCGTCGCCGCGAAAACTTCATTGTTTTTCCGCTAAATTTCGTCGCCAAGTCAAATTTCCCTATTTTAATGTTTTCTTATTTGTTTGAAAACTCCTGGTATGCTACCTAAAGGAGTTATGCACATACAAAACTTTTTTCAACAGGCTTTCGAATGGCATACAAATCAAGTCTCTATGAGCTCTCACTTGTTCACAAAGTCGTTTAAAAATATGTCAGTTTTTCGTGAACATCCCATAACTACAGTACCTAAGTAGCTTAACCATTATGAGGTATAAATTTTGTACAGAACTCGTAATTGTCACAAGTCTTTAAAAAACAGTACTTATATTTCATATATTTTCCTGGACGGTCATGCTCGCATGACGGTAAACGAACTTGAAAAGTGTGAACAAAACTCTGAATTGTCGCAATGTAATGCTTAGAATACTTTACCAAGAGACCCAGTTAATTTACAGCGGACGTTTGTCGCCATCATGCAGATCAAACGGTGCGGTGCGGGGAACTGCCGCCGGTGTCCCTCTGCCGTGGCGGAGCCTGGCAGCCGGCTGCGCTCCTGAACTCGCTCCTGAGCCCGCACTGCCGTGACATTCGGCTCACTGAACGCGATCCGCCGGCCGCCGCGTGTCACATAGGCGGTGCACTCGTAATGCCGAACGTGCATACGTTGGCACTAACCAGGCTCTGAACTGCTTGGAGATTTCAGCATCCATCGGGGGGGGGGGTATCACGGGCCTTGGTTATCACTTTAATTGGGCCACGACGTGCCGCATTGTAATTGAGACTGTTGAATACCCTGCTCGATTAACAAAGTACTGCAACACACATGGCTTATGACAGTACCCAGAGACATCAAATGCAATCAACCATATACAGTATAATCAGAAATGTTAGCGCGGATAACAAAATGAGCAATGAGCACACACACAATGCATTGGACTGGTTTATCAAATACACGGTAATTTCTCTCTTGTATTTATAGATGTATAGGAATACTATTTTGTTCACCCCACCAGCCATTGCCCTTTACGGCCGAAAAAGGCCTAATCAAGCGTATTTGCTTATCTAGGGCCAGGCTTTCACACGGTGGATTCCTGCTGTGACACGGAGCAGGACAAGCCGAGGGAGTGTGCGCGACGGAGCGGCTGGCGGCCACTCGCCGAGAGGAAAAAATGACAATAACCGACACGAACCACGGCCACCGAGACCTTGCTTTTGGTCATGCTACACAATTCATTGGTGCAGAACAAAGTTTATTTGGTAGGCCTTTTGAAGTGCAACGGTGAACAATTTCTCTGTGAGTACCGTTTCCGCAGCATTAGTTTGAAGTCTCCACGGCCGTGTGACAAGTTTGTGTCGATTTTTCTACCCTCTGGCAGCGGCGCGGCCGAGGCGGGCGCGCGGCATGGCACACTGGCCTCGGCCGGCGGCTGGCCGTGCCAAGAGCGGACGGCCGTCGCCGCGCAGCTATTTCTGCCCGAGCCACAAGTGGGCCAGTGCGTCAGGCAATTGTCGCCGCCGCCCGCCGGCCGGTCGGTGTCATCTGCCCCTCGGCCGGACCGCGCCGCCGAGACGGAGCACCGCCGACACCGCCCCCTGCGAGTGCCCCGCCGCCATGATCGGCACAAAAAATCACCGAATCTGATAGCCAGAAAAAGATAGCCTGTAAAAATACATGTCCGTGGTCACCGCTCATCGTAACCAGACCATCTGAGTTCCGACATCGGATTATTCCCATTTTCATTTCGCATAGCAGCTGCTTTTACTTTTAGATAGGCTAGGTACCTACAAGGTACCTACACATAGATGCTTGCGAGAAAAACACTTTGTTTATCATCATTATCATCATTTTCGGCATTGTCTGGTCAAAACAGTGCACAAAGACAGCAATGTTGCCTTTTTATCTCGAAGAAACATGAAGAACTTTGGTACACAAACCTCGCCCAAACACATGCGTTTTTTTCGCGAAAAGCAGTAAGTATCTACATACATTAGACACTGCTTCCAGGCAAATCATATTCATAATGTCATTAAACCGGCAAACTACGCCATAGTTTTCTAAAAGGCTACACAAATCTCGAAAAGAAAAGGTAAGGTAAAGCGATTATCTAACGCCTAATAGATGCTGTGCCGCATTACACTAAACGCAAAATAAGCAGGTAGCTCATAGTCTTACCGCTGGATGTTAGCGATATCTAGCGCCTGAAACAAGCTGTGCCGCAATACAAGTGGTGCCAGACCAAGCAGTTTTTAGCCTTGCCGCTAGATGGCAGAGAATCTAGCAGCGCCTGATGCATGCTGTGCCGCAATGCATCACAAAGCCGAGTAGTTCATAACCTTGCCGCTAGATGGCAGACATCTAACGCCTGGTGCATGCTGTGCCGCACTACACCTTAGCACCGGGTGGTGCATAGTCTGGCCGCTAGATGGCAGAGATCTAACGCCTGATGCATACTGTGCCGCAATACGTTTGGCGCATAATATCGAGTAGGTGCATATGTTACAAGATTACCGTATTAATGGGTGCATAGACCATAGTTTGGCCTATTCAAAAGCGTATCTGATTCCCGGTACTAGCGAGAGCTTCATCATTGCTTGATACCGTACCATGATCAGAATGTTGAGTAGTTACCCATGGTTTGCAGTTTTTTGTTCTTGACTCATTTATGATTCAATTATTCAGTTTGAGGGCGTACTCGCCGATGTAGCTGCCAAGCCCATGAGCCACTATGTGAGACCTGTTCCACAGAGGTGACTCTGCTCTCACAATCTCTATGAAAGCGTACGAATCAGCACGGTTGGTCCGACCGACTATGGCATTGGATGACGAAAATGCTGCGGCTGAACAATGCGCATGGTCATTATTCGAGTTCATTCAGCCGAATAGCTAGGTTAACGTTCCTGAAAACAGCAGAAAAGCACTCGATATTAAAGTGGGTGGGGAGATCCCAGACCAAATATGACTGAACGCAGTCATGTCAAACGAAGGATGGTGTTGATGTGTGCGACGATGATACTGCGTATATTCGCGTTATGAGTGTCATGCATCCACTTCAGATACTCTCATCAAAACAAACCCAAGGAAAGATAAGCAGATCCAACGCACATGTATTTAGTCTGTTTAGTGGTCCCGAGTTTCCATGAAACGTCAGTGAATGCGACATACGAGACATGTCCGTTCAAATTCATGGAATGCCATATCGGTCATGGAAACAGCTATATACACGATAATAAACGTTAAGTGGAGACAGAAGCGAAGCAAGAAAACAATCGCAATGAAACTATTCTAAATGGGCGAGGAAGAAAGATGAAGGAAGACATTGATTCACCATTACCTAACCGCAATTTTCATGCTGAAATATTAAAACAATGAAATGTAAGACAAATCATGACACCATCAAAACAATGCCGTCACGAAACGAGCATTATGCCGACTGCCGAGAATCTCACATAGCGATTGACACCTTTCGTGGACACATGTTCGCTCAGTGTCGCGACACGTTACGATATTCATACATATTATGCTCGACTGAGAGCGTCCTCTGTCGTCCGGTTGAGCCGAAGCCCGGCCGTGGCTACAGCCTGGCTTCGAAAGTCAGCTGTTGCAATCAGATGAACTTTTGAGCCCAACTCCGGATGCCATCAGTTATCTCGATATGCTGCAGTCTGAGTGGGCAGTTGGGCACAATATTAGATACCCCCAGGCACCAGTGACAAATGGCCAGCCGGCTGGTCAGGACAGACGGCGCGCAGAAACGGACGGGGTGACGGACGGTGACGCCGAGCTACTCCTTCCGTCCGTCCACCTCACAGAGCTTATCCTCGGCCAGTTTGAGTCGCTCCTCCATCAGCAGCACGGTCTGTGTGACCAGCTCCATCTGCTGCATCAGACCGGAGACCATCGACCTGATCTCTGCCATCTCACCGCCACCACTGGCACCGCCAGCACCGGCGCCGGCGCTGAGTCGTCCACCGCGCGCCGCCGGCGGGCCCGTCGTGTCGCTCTCCGACTCGGGAGGCAGCTCCTCGTCGCGTCGCTCATCGGCCAGCTGCGAGCAGTCGACGTCCGGCCGGCGACTCTCGGTGCCCGTCTCCAGCTTGGGGATCACGTTACCGCTACTGGAGGCCGTCATCTGACCGGAGGAGCGAGCGGTCACAACTGGGCCGGCGTGACTGACGAGGGGTGCTCAAAGTCGGCCATGACCGGGCCGGATATCAGGTCCCAAGTGACAGAACCACGATAATATTGCAATATTTTGAGGGAAAATTGCACACGAAGGCTGATTGTAAACGATGTTAAGCTATCACACTAAAACGGGATGCAAATAATTCATGTAAAAATCCCAAGTCCGTGCTCTTATCGCTCCTATTACAAATATGTAAAATTAATGTCTAGGGACACATCAGTCCCGTCCCCCGGCCGGTGGTCCTCCGTTCCCTGTGACCTCACCTCTCGGTCGAAGTTGGTGCGCCACACAAACAGTTGCTCATCCGTTCCACCCGAGGCAAAGTGGTGTCCGTCTCGCGCGAACGCTGCAGCCGTCACGGGCCCGCGGTGGCCGTGTAGAGTGTAGTACGGCCGGCCCTCGAGCAGGTCAAACACGCGCAGAGTGCCGTCGTGCGAGGCAGACAGGAGGAAGTTTCCAGACGGGTGGAAGGAGACCTGTGAGACGGCGGGACGCTCGGCTCAGCGGTGCTGGTACAGGCTCCGCTGGTAATGATGAGTTGAAGAGAACAGAAAGGGAGAAAGGGAGAGTTCGGCTTGGGATGCAGTTCAGCGACAATTTGCAGCTTGCAATATATTATATGTAGAAATACGCTGTTTGGTGCGTACTTCTCTAATATTTTATAGCCAAACAATGGTTGACAATTTAAAGTGATAGGTAATGCAAAAAAAGGAATCGTCACTCCCAAAAGATGTAAAATTTAGTAAATGAAAATATATTGCAGTAGAATCGATAAAATAAAGTATTGATCGGAATACAAGAAAATGAAAAAGGGCAAAATTCTATCGACTAGAGCGACTAGAGAGAGGTTTAAATACGCCTAACTGCGTCCGCCTCGAGAGTTAATTATCAGTGCACCTGTATGAAGAAACAGGTACCGTGATACCTCATTTCCCTGTCTCTTTAACGGTTGGGGAACTGCACTGTGAGTGTATCATGAGGCAATCTACAAACCCGACAGATTTTAGCCTGCCCAGTGTCCAGGCAGCTCGGTGGGAATGTCTGTCTTGTGACCCGACCGGTCACGGCGGTGAGAGTCTGTTTCGAGCAGACTTCATCTCACGCGATCTGCTTCTGACAGAAATATGGCCTGCAGTCAGTGACAGTGATCGTTTTACAGCCAAGATGAAGTCGGTGAGAGGGCTGGAACAGGTTCGGCAAGTTTTCTGAGAAATAGAGCCGCTTTTATTACTTTCACCTGATCAAACGGATGTCTTCAATCGGCATAATACGAAAAAGATATCGACTAACTATTGAACGTTTTGTTCGCAACCATCTAACTCTTAAGTTTAGGAAGTCCGTCGTCGGATATTTTCGCCATTAGTTGGTAACTCACAAATTTCATCTTTAGGAGTGAAATATTATTAATTTCATTCGGAGTGAGGATTATAATTTCACAAATTCCTATTAATTTCATCTTTCGTCTTTACATCTTTCATCATCAAACTTTGAGAATAGTGTTCTAATGCTTATAAGTTAGAGTTTCTGCTCGTCTTTCTATCTCAATTTTCGAGATAATCGAAGTGGCCATTCCACATCCCCCGTGCTAAAGTGATCAGTGATCAGTGATCCGCCCAATTTTGTTGTGTACACGGAATCCACAATCGGGTGTGAGGTCAGAGCCTGCGCAACAAGCTCTGCCTTGGATATCACATTAGAACGTAGTACATTAAGAACATTGAACGAATTTGAACGGAGCAAATTTAGAACATTTGAACGTAAGTTAACAACAAAAATATAACCCCGTTCACCGTACGGGCTCCGACCTTACTCTTTTCCATCAGCACCGCCACCCTTCAGTCACATCCATCGTGATACTGGATCTGCTCGGTTGATTATTCGCTCGATCGACTACGATCACTGACCTCATTCATAGTTGCCGGTAGTACTGCCACAGCAGACTGCGATAACCGACCTTATTCACGGGACGTGCCGAGTGCATGGCGTAGTGCTGCAGCAGTCTGTGGTAACTAACCTTATTGACGGGTGCCGGTAGTGCGGACTGCGATAACTGACCTTATTGACTGGCGCCGAGTGCATGGCGTAGTGCTGCAGCAGGCTGCGCGAGCGCACGTCGTACACCTTGACGGCGTTGTCGGAGCCAGCGGCGGCCACACACATGCCATCCGGGTGGAAGGCCACGTGGTGCGAGAAGCCCTTGGCCTCGTGGAACGTGTGCACGCAGCACTGGGTGCGCGTGTCCCAGACGCGCACGGTGCGGTCGTCAGAGGCGGAGGCCAGCAGACGGCCGTCCGGCGAAAACCTGCCGGGGAGCGATAGGGGGAACGTCAGAGACTCAGAGGAGAGAATATCACGGTGGACTGACACGGGGATCGTTACAGAAATATGACCGTAAACCGACACAAACGTCAGAGGAATGAGAGCGAGGACTGAAGCTCTCAGCCATTGTATTTAATGTTATACCGCTGCTAAGGGTTACACAAATGTCGGATGTATAGTCGCTGATTAGGTCGCAAAATATGTAGCGAGACAAAACCGTTTCCTCACTCCTAAACCATAATTTCCTTGTATGCAGAGACAGCATTCTACAAATGCTTACAAGAAGACAGGGGAACAACACTCACCGGACACATCGGACCCAATTCTTGTGTTCGGTGAGCGAGAACTGAAACTTGTGCCGGTTCACCACCCACAGTTTGATGGCCTTGTCGTCGGAGCCGGTCACCAGCTGCTGGCCGTCCGGAGAAAAGTGTACACTCCGCACGGTGCCCATGTGCGCCTTGAACGTCTCAGACTCACCCTGCCGGCGGCCGCGGATCGGTTACAAACCGGACAGTGGTACCGTTTTATATCCAGATGCGAACGGGAAACGTGACTGACAGAGGCGGACGAGTACCGCAGTAAAGTAGCGAGTACGGGCGGGCAGCAGGACACATTCAGAGGCAGGCGGGCGTTACAGCGCAGGAATGTGCAGGCGCAGTAATCAAAACATTAGAGATGGTCACACTCACAGTGTGGGAGCAGCGCACATGCGGCACATGTCCAGACGAATGCATGGGACCGGTAATTGGTACATGAGAGATGCCACAGTAGAGGGCAGCACATAGGCACCACATAGACCCGCAACAAAATTAATCACAACAGGGAAGGGAGACGGCCTCGACCTGCGTGACACGTCCCAGCGAGCGGGTCCTCACCTTGATGGCCGGCACCCACAGACGGATGGTGCGGTCTCGGGAGCCGGAGGCGATCAGCTGTCCCGACGGCGAGAACTGCACGTCGAGCACCGGCTCCTTGTGACCCATCAGTCTGGTGGAAAAGTCAATGTTAGTGAAAACATATGACACACATCCAAAACAATTTTAGTCAGGACATAATCAGGACCATATGGGCCATGACTCTATGGGAATATGGGATATTATTAACCATATGGGACTCTGATTTTCAAGATGTGAAATACAAAATAAGGCAAAAGATGGTTTAGCATTGATGGATAACATCGTGGTAGTTCAGCTTCAAACACACTACTGACCTGAATGCCCTCTGCTGCTGCTCATAGTTCCAGAGCATAATCGAGGCATCCAGGCTGGACGAGACCACCTGGCATGTGCTCGGATGGAAGTCCACCGCTGTCACTGTGTCTCTGTGGCCATGGAAGTTCCTCTCCAGGACTGGGTCCTCTTCCACACATGTATTACTCATTTTGGCAATCTGTAAGATAAACATGCAAATGAGTCAGTCATGACACACCAAGTGACCAGTATCCCCTTCACATTGGCATAACTCAGTTTGGCTTCAGGTTAGAAGAGCACCTGAACTGAAGGAACACCTAAAAGTGATGGATTTTAGGGTGAGTCCGACGCCGACTCCGGCTTCAAAAATCGACTCCGACTCCGACTCCGGACGATTCTATTAAAATCCATATCATGATATTGGAGTTCATAGGTAAGGACTCATGGAGATGTTTTATCTTGGCTGAAATGATCCCTCGTGCGTTCCAAGGCTTTGCGTTGCAAATATACATAAAAAATAGCATGTAGAATTAAAAAGCAGGTTCTGGGTAAACCACCGTCTCCTGCTTCATTTGCTGAAAACGTTCGTCAGCAAAATGGCCTTTTTTCGACAAAATCTAATTTCGAGCGCACTTTCGTCATTCAAACAGGTGCAGTGCATGACGTTGAGCTATGCAGCGTTAACTCCGACTCCGGAGTCAGAGTCGGTGATATTTTGGCAACTCCGACTCCGACTAGGCAGAACTGTCGACTCCCACCGACTCCAACTCCAACTCCGACTCCGCAGCCATGCTTTAGACGACTCCGCAGACTCTAAGCAGACTCTAAGCTCCGCCCACTGCGTCCCTACGTCATCCTTCCGTTACCGCACACAGCGTGAATTAAATTAAAATGAGTGAATTAAATGAGAATTAAATGATTCAGTCGGGACCGGCCACAGGGGACGTCCACCGCACACAGCTGTGATGTTATAACCGCCTACCCATCCCCTACCGGCCCTACCCCCACGCCGGGCGCCGGCTGCGCAGACCACACTCTGCAGTTTGCGCCCGTGAAAAGCCTTGGGTGTATGATGATTTGTTTAATAATATGCCAGACCAAAGAGTGGAGCATCACAAGTCTGCTGGTTATGAGTCCAGATCAACTGGTACCATAGCCCTGGAGTTATTCTTAGTTTTGAAAAAATAGCCACCACACAGCAACTGCAACATGAAGGCTGTATATTATTGATATAATAATTGGTGAGAGCAGTCGTAGGAATGGCCGGGTGTTTGTGGGTAACCAAAACTTAATCCTCAAAAAATATCATAAAAAGCATGTTCATAGAAAGGACGGAAAGGACCGAAAGGACCACAGCATTAATGATGAGCGTATCTGCAACGTTTCTTGAAAATGATGTGCTTTTAAGTTTTCGTGCACCTGAATTTGAATGATAATAACAAAATAAGGCAACAGAGATACTTACTGTTTGATGCTACCCAGCAGTAACAAAGAGATTCGTATTTTGAGCCACTTTACCCTTTGAAATTAAAATAATCAACAAATAAATCATCCACAGCGACAAGAACCTGCGCCAAAAACCAGTTTGTTGTTTGTAATGAGCGCGCTTCAAGACCGATCAAGTGGCAAGTTCCAGTTGGATAATAATATGACGTCATTGATTTTTCAGAATTGCAACCAGAAATTACATAAAATAACATTCCTGTTTTATTTTTAAAATTTTCACTTATAAAAACAGTTTACTGTAAACTTTTGGAGTATTTTCTGAAGAGTATCAGTTAATAAAACGAGTAAAACAAATGAAAATGATGGGTTTATATGGCTTTTTGATGACGTCAAATGAAGGTCATCAGTTATATTCTATTATCGTTCGTTAAAGTTTAGCAGTGTTTGGTTTCGAAAGCATTAGCATATTTACGGAAATACCAGTGCATATGAGGAAATTTATGTTTCCATATTTCAAAATGTTGCTTATATTCTCATGAAGAAATCAAAACAAATCATCAATCGCCTTCATCACTGAATATTCATCTCCCCGTTCATAGATGCTTCCGTTCCCTTGTGGCTTGTTCCCATCCTGACTGAATGTGGCTTCAATTAAAAACGCAAAAAACGTTCTCTGACAGTATTACCAAATCATCTCCCCCATGCACATCACGACCACACAGGACAAAAAGCCAACCATCCTCAGAAACAGAGTGTATTCCGCGTCCGTGAGGCGCGCCCTCCACCGAGGCCGGCACCCCATTACGAATTTCGTTACACTTGGTTCGTAGCCCGGCCACCGATTACGAGGCGGCGCCGAGCTGGGTGGCCATCTCCAGCTGGGCGGTGACCACGGACTGCATGCTCTCGCGGGTGGCGGCCACGTTGGTCTTCCAGGCGGTGAGCACGTCCCTCAGCTGCTGCCACTGGCGGCGGTCGAACGTGCGGTGCATGGTCGACGAGATGTGCACCTTGCGCGCCGCCTGGTCCATCCGGCCGCGCACCAGACGAGTCCGCAGCACTGAAACGAGGCAGACCGGGCGGCGCACGACGTCAGCTATGTAGGACCGAGGGTGACGGTAACAATGACATAACAATGACAGTGGTTACGGTGTCCTTCAACGTGGATAAAATGCGAACGTTAACGGCGTTAAACTGTCAGAAATTTCTCACAACTTCGAGGCGACTAAAGTGTACTTGCCACACGGCTTTCCACAAGCTTTTCTAGATGTGGTTAATTTGGTAGTAGTTAGCAATTTAGCAATAAAATATAAAGACGGATCAGCTGTATAAGGTCACCGCAGTAGGATGTTTAACGGTACGCTTTCACCGCCGCACAAGTCCACTACCCGGCAGCGACTGCGTCGCGCGCCGTTTCACTGGCAACGGCTCTAGGCCACGAGCCGGACCCACCTTCGATGATGAACTCCTCGACATCCTCCTCGGGAATCCAGAGCTCCTTCTGGATCATGGCGAACGACATGTCCGGGTGCGCCTGGGCCAGCTGCGTGAACGTCAGCTGCCGCATCTTATTCTCGTTGGCCTGGTGGCTCAGTCCTGGACGGAACAGAGCGTAGCACCATGTCAAAACCGAACGCACATAGTAGAAAACGTAGACACGCATCAGGAATAATATATAACTCTCATCAACCGCAAACCACATTCGCTATGCTGCATTTATCGACTCTCATAACCAGTAACCACATTAAGACGCGGTGGTTTTGTCCCATCCACTACTCATACCTACCATTTAGGAAGCAGTTGCACACACCCAAGCAATATACAACAGACTGTTGACAGCAATATACCTATTGCGACGGCTTCCATTAGCCGGGTTCCACCCCACACTCACCCCAGGACTCCACCAGGTCCTTGTGCTTGGCGTAGAACGCCTGGTACTCGGCGAACCCCTGGCTGATGAAGATGTTTAGCAGCTCGTAGACGGGCGTGCCCTCCAGCGACCTGACCGGCGTCAGGCTGAGCAGGTGGTCCAGAAGGAAGGTGTCCGGGTCGGCCAGGGCGGCCAGCACGCAGCGCTGCGCCTCCTCACGCGCCTCGGACGCCGTCTCCTCCGAGTAGGTGCGCAGGAGGTCGATCATCACCACAGCCGCAGCGTCACTGGGGACAGGGGAGGGTGCGGCGCGTCAGCGGCAGATCAAGATTCCAGAGAGGGACACGGGCGTCAGCAACAGGCCAAGATAAAGATAAAGCTTGTCATCTTTAACAAGATCATCATGGTTGAGAGCATTGATATGGACTGGTCAGGAGGGCCGAGGTAGAATACCAGGGGCCTGTTCAATAGAGGAAACACTGGTCAGCGGCAGGTCACGAGGACGTAACGCTGGTACCGGGTGTCACCAGGTCAAGGCAGGTCAAGGCAAAAAAAAAACAGGTCAAGGCAGAGCGTGGGATGTCAGTTGGCGATTTGCGGACAAAAGAACGCATTGCAAAAGTACGTAGAACAAAAATACGCATGCAAATGCTCGAATTGTCAAGAAGTACCTATGTAGGCAATAAAGCCGGTAAGGACAAAAGTATATCTTGCGTACAAATGCATTTTGTTCTTTGGTTCTACGTTCTTTTCCTGACGTAGGTCCACATGCCAAACGAACAGTTGTTAAACGTATTTTTGTCCGCAACCCGTCAGTGGTAGGCCAGAATGGGGACATCGGGCGTCAGCAGCATATCAAGAGAGCTGAGGATACGATGTCTCAGCAGTGGGTTGGGTAAACGGCCACAGCAGTAGGTTCTGTGCGCGACTTCTAACACGGCTATACCCCTGGCCGGATATTCGCCAGCCCTGACCGCCATTGCAGTGGAGCAGGCAGTCGATCTGACCGACCGTCTGTCAGACTGACGGTTCGGGACTTTACTGCTGAGCAGCAGCTCACCTGCTTGATGTTGAGCAGGTAGCCTGTGTTTGTTGTTGGGCAGCTCGCCTGTGTTTGTTGTTGGGCAGTTCGCCTGTGTTTGTTGTTGGGCAGCTCGCCTGTGTTTGTTGTTGGGCAACTCGCCTGTGTTTGTTGTTGGGCAGCTCACGTGTTTGATGTTGAGCACTCAGCAATTCACCTGTGGTTATTGTTGAGCAGCTTGCCTGTGCCTGTTGTCGGGCAGCTCGCCTATGTTTGTTGTTAATCAGCTCACCTGTGTTTGTTGTTGAGCAGCTCGCGGAAGATGAGCCGCAGCAGCTTCTGTTTCTGGCTGGTGGTGAGACTGGAGCCCAGCGCCGCCTCCATGGCCGGGATCGTCGTGAACACGCTGTCCAGCTGTCGGGTAATCAACGCCACAGGTTCAGGACCGTCACAGACAGTCCATGGTCGGGTATAATTAACGCACAGCATCTCTCCGAGGGTGGGGCGCCAGCTGTCCCAGCCACGGCGGAGCGGAAAAGTTTGAGTCGCCGAAAGTACTCACTGACTGATGCTTGACAAGCGGTCAAATCTAGCGGGGTGAGGGAGGGAACTGGGAAGAAAAGCCAGTCACAATCCGGACGTAACTTGCGATGGCGTTACTGCCGTGGTCAAGGGAAGCCGTCCGACTTGCAGAACGATCCATAATGGCGCGACTCGCCTAGGTTTTAGGGATAGCCCAAGAACCCGTGAACGAATACGGACCCAATACCATTTGGCATTTGCACCCCTCAACGAAAGGCATTAGTGACTGCAGTTGCGCCCGTAAGGCGTGAACGAATACAATATTCGAAAAAAGCTCCTTAGCCTTCTGGTCCTTTGTTTGAGTTTTTTAAATACCTAAGGTTGAACGACGAATGAAGTGAAACAATATTCACCGATCAGCAATTTAATATGAGAAGCCTGGACTGGATTCTGAATTACCCCCTCATTCCCCGCCCCCACCCCCTTCTGACGACCTCAATGTCACACCCTTCCGCTGTAACGTTACGGCGGCATTGTGCTTTGTTGCCACTTCACTAGACGTGTTCCGCACACTGAGTTGACAGTGATTGGCGCTTTCTAAGGCAGTTACCGCCCCATGAGCAGCCGGCCGGCGAGCCCAAACGGCGCCGGTATTCACGGGCGGTGGTGGATCGGGTCGAGAACAGTGACTCTGGCCAAGCTTACCTCTGAATTGGTCGTCCTAAAACATTTCACTGGGTTCATAAACTTATCCTACTGTGAGCATGAAATCAGTTAAGAAACAAAGACCCACCTGGTCAACTTTTCCAGCCAGGGAGACAAGGCTGTAGTAGACATCATACTTCACTGGTGATGATGTTTTGAGACTGTTGAACAACAGGTTAAGAACTTTGAGGCACACTTCCTGGAATGCTGTTGCTGTTGACATCTTCTCACAAAACTCTATGATGAGCTTGTTGTTGTCATTTACAGTTTCCTGAAACACAGGGGTAAATAGTGAAGATCCCTGGTGAAAATAGAAAACATGAGTTATAAATGCATCAAAGTTCCAGCATGCCCTCCTTTTGCTATTATCAGCACTAAAAGTTTTGTCATGGATCAATTTACACAGAGCATTGGCTGGTTTATGAACATGTGGAACATACTTATTCCAACATGTGATAATGGAAGGCATGTAACTAATTTGCATGAGCCTTCTCATACAATATAATCATGACTGATACCAATGAATGTATTGCAGCAGTGTGCCTAGTTTGTAAAAAAAAAACTCACCAGAATAATCATAGAAACAATGCTATTCAGGACGGCCTCGACATCGGCTGCAGCAGAGGAGGCGAAGCACACATCGCAGGCCTTGATGATGAGTGACAGGTCCTGGTGCAGGTCACCCGATGATTCTGCGGCTATGTCTGCACCCTTCGACTTGAGGTACTGCTGCAGCTCCAATGCCTGAAATGGGATGGTGATGATGATGATTTGGCGCTATGGGGCACACCAGCAATAAGGCTGCTGCTGCTGTATTGTGCCCATATCTTAACTTCCTTTCTTGAGATAGGATGGGATGTAGATAGATTAAATGCCTTAAAATGGGATGGGTTAAATATTTAATAAGTAACTAGTCTCTGTCTAAATGGACAGAGCAATAATGGAATTGGAACAGTATTGGACAGCTCCAAAAGGAAGCTAGGAACCAAGTAACAGGAAAAATAAATCAGAATATTTTACTGTACAGTTGATATCATTGGACTCTGACAACTCATTTTCTTCTGTCCCAAATCTGAACTTAACAAGACAACAACATGACAACATGCTGTACATTGGGCTTCTCTTCACTTTCAAGGAGCCCCTCTCACAACTTATGAAGCAGGCAACATAAATTAATTTTTAGAGTTACAGGAACTTTCCATTTATGACATCTACATGAGCATATGGTAAGTAAGCAGCATACAAGCACAGCTTCTACTTTCAAGCAATTATACTTTGTCTCCAACAAAAAAAGTTTGAATGCAAATTGCAAAATGTGTCATTATCATTCTAAGCCAAGGCAAACTTCACAAATCAGTGCAAGGATCAGGAAAACCACAATGATTTAATGTTTGTAATTGGAGCTTCAAATGTCCATACCCATTGCAAAGGCACTTACTTTAGTGCTGATTCAAATTACTCAACTCAGTCATGAATTTCAAGTTGCGTGCATGGCGTTCACAATGGCAGTAGTTAGACAAATACTGCATGTCATGGCTGTGTTCTGAGATGGACAACTGGCACGCCATATGAATTCAGAATTGCACGGTTGACGGTTCCTCCCGTCCTTCCATCCTGATCCATCAAGCCTTTTCCTTGCTGACCGATGGTTAGAAAGAATCCAGCAAGGTGAGTTGACAAGGTGAGCTGACGTAAGACAGTCAACATACAAACTACGCTAATAACCATTATATTATCAAATGTTACCTGATCCGTGAGTTCAATCTTGATGAAGGCGAGAAGCTGGTTGGTTTCCACGTTTGTGGCCGCCATCATGCGCTTGACGTTTAAACAACGTAAGTCAAAGTGATACTGTATGGACTGTGAATCAACCGTACCAATAAATAAAACATTTAATAGAGGATAACACCTATAACTGTCACACAAATCCACACACGAACAGCCGCCCCACGCGCACCACGCGACGAAAGGCCGATTTTGTCAAGGTTACGAATATGTTAGACTAAAACATGGAGCCTCAGCCCAACCTCAGCCTTTCAAATTAAAAACCTATGACGTCATTGATTGTACCAATCAGAAAGTACTGCGGGGTGAGACTAAATGCTTACTTCGAAATCTAAGCTGTGGGACGCGTGTATATCACACCACGGTGAGATTTACATAATGCATCGCACTGTAGTGTAAACCTCACCCGGGTGTGATTTACACAATACACTACTCCTGTGTATATCACACCACGCGGAGTGTGATTTACACAGTGGGCCGGCAATGCGTAAATCACACCGGGGTGTAATATACACAATGTGCTCCTAGTGTGTAAATCACACCCGGGTGTCAGACCACGCAGCACCTGGGTGTGATTTACACAGTAGGCCCGGCAAATGCGTAAATCACACCGTGGTGTGATATACACAATGTGCTCCTAGTGTGTAAATCACACCTGGGTGTCAAACCACGCAGCACCTGGGTGTGATTTACACAGTAGGCCTAGCCAATGTGTAAATCTCACCAGGGTGTGATATACACTGTGTGCTCGGTAGTGGGTAAATCACACCTGGGTGTCAAACCACGCAGCACCTGGGTGAGATTTACACAGTAGGCACGGTAACAAGACACTTAACCAAACCTTAGACCTGACCTGACCTAACCTAACCTAACCTAACCTAACCTAACCTGACCTACTGATTTTTGCCTACCCGTGGATGAGGAAGAAGGTACTCGCATGAAGAGATTGCAAGCAATGGTAAGTCAAATATTTTTAGGTTAAGTGGTTGTGCATCAGGCTTCAGGCCTTCGGCCTGAAGCCAGATACACAACCACTTAACCTAAAAATATTTGACTTACCATTGCCTGTAATCTCTCCTAAGGCATTGCCTTCGGCACTGCACCGCTTCGCCACGAGCATTCAGACGTCGCTTTCCATATTGTATTGGTGCTTTTAAACTTGTCGGTCGGCAGCGAACCCACCGCTACCAAGGAAAAGCGAAAATGCGGGAAAAAGCGCCCGCACCTACGGGACTCGAACCCGCAACATTCGTGTCATGGTGCAAGCACCTTCACCACTAGGCCAAGCGGTCAGCTGATTCCGAGAGAGAGGACGCCCGGAATCCCGCCGGAATATTCGTAGTGCTTAGTCTGATCTGACCAATGGGCGAGCAGAGTCACTGCTCTGACCAATGGACGTTCAGCGTTGCTATGACGTCACATCGTGGTGAGATATACACACAGCTGCCCTCTCTGTGTATTCCTCACCCGGGTGTGATTTACACTACGTAGTAGATTTTGTGTATATCACACCGGGGGCGTATTTTGAATTCACCATAGGGCTCAGCCATTCCTAGAGGAATTCTAGGCACCTTGGAAAAAAGCGAAATCGCGCTAGGGATTTCAGCCGATCTGGCAGCTCTTCCGATGCCACTGGCGCGCCTTTTAATCCAAAGCGCCTTTTTCGTGTCTCATGTTTGCTCGTTTATTGCGGAGGCCTATATATGCTTCAAGATGCTGGAAAAGGTTGGTGATTAATAAGTATTTCCATTTTAGGTGCATGTTCTTTGCAAGAAATACAGTTGTTGTTGCTGTTGTTGTGGGTTAGGGCGCAAGAAATACAGGTATATGTCAACTTTAGGTCCTAACTATAACTGTGACGCTGTTGATACAAATCTGTAACAGCAAAAAAATTATGTTTTAGGTTACGTTAGGTTGTAAGTTTTAGGTTGCATTGTAGGTTTGTAGGTAGTAGATTGGTAGGTTATAGGTGAAAAGGTAAGGTTAGTTCAGGTTTGATTATGTTTTTCTTTTAGTTACGAGACATATAAGTATCATTTTTGGATTCAGGATGTCAAATAATGGTCGGAAACACTAAATTCAAAATTAACTAATTTTGAAGCGGGGACCTCCATGTGTATCGGCCAAATAATGTAAGAATATGAAAAAAAATTATCCATGAAATCTGCTTAGGACTTAAACTTGACATTTACCCACATGGCTATAGGTATCACCAGCAGAATTATAATCTTTACATAATTTAAAAAAAATGCTGTAAGTGAAGATTATGAGTCGTGTAACCATTGTTACTATATTGATATTAAATATTGAATAGGTACAAGTCCGCCACCAACTTTATGGAACATTCCTTCTTCCAACAGGATCACTTCCAAGTAATCTGGAAGGCTGATGCCAAGTACATCTTGTGCGAGAAGCTTGATATGATTCCTGACCTGGAACCGGTGAGCATCAAATATAGCAATTTGCTTAAAGCAATAGCAATTGCTGATGATGGCAATTTCAATTTGCAGTAACACATATTATATGTAATTGGTTTGAGCCATGTTGCAATCATTTTATAAATGAAAACTTCCATTTTTAAAATGGAACTATCAACTTTCCCCACAGGCTTCGGTAACAAAGTTTTATCAATTGTGAATGACAATATTATTGGTATGAGTGGTGTGTGCGGTGATCTGTATTTGAATATAACGCGTCTTGTCACTAAGTATTTGTCATCTGCATTATAGCTGACTATTACGGTAATACGATCGTGCATTGGTCCCAGACAAGAATACCCCAGTGAGACCTTGCATTATTTCGTTTCAGGAGTTGATGGAGGGCACCACTGTGGCCTACCGATGTCCGGCGTCAAAGGAATCGGCCCTGCAGTGGATTCAGCTGTACCAAGAGGCCGCCAACATCCCCCTGACGACGTACGACTCCATGTCGAATGGCCAAAGGGTGGTGTACTGGGTGAGAGCTTTAGTTTATGAAATACCAGTTTGGGCTCGCCGTGTAAAGCTCGGCAGGGGGGTACTTTTGCCCGAGCACTCGACCTGTGCCCGCCAATGGAAAATTCTGCTGGTGCAGAGCCTCCTGAGGGTTCAGCAAAGACCCGCCGTATGAAAGCCTGTCGGGGTCTACTGACAGAGGGCCCGGCGGCCTGGGCTCGCTGCATGAATCCCCAGCTTGATGCCGCGTACTGAGGACCAGTCATCCAGCCGTCATACCGGGTGTCTCGGAGGACTGGACGGGCACCTACCAGCGGGCCCGCTAGATTTCGGGAGGGTCAGCTGACCCCTTTGTCCCCCTGACTCCTCCCTGGGTGCGCCACTGCACCCAGTAACTTTGACTCTTTTATATCGCAGGAAGGTGCGGGTTAATGAAACACCATGATCAGGGTCAGTTAAAAAGGTAACGTTTTTAAATCGAGAAACTTTCATCCTCATTTAAATGACGGACTAATGAGTGGCAATTGATTTCATCACTTTTGTTAATGTTGTCAATTTTTTTTCAGGCCAGGCTTCGTTGTCACCACGACGTCCCAGAAAAGCCGAGTCGTCCGAGGAAAAACCAATCCGCCAAGGACACCGGGTGCCCCCTGCGCCTGAAAGTGACTGTCGCCAACATTCCAAAACGGCAAGTTTCTCACCGTCTTTTGTCATTGGCACCTTTTACCAGGGCTGCGGAGTCGACCCAGCTTTAGCCAACTCCGACTCCGACTCCGGCCTCACAAAATCGACTCTGACTCCGACTCCGACCTATTAGTTCTGGAAAGCATTTATTTGGCCCTTTGGTTCACCGAACCAGTGCAGAGACGTGAACTTCGGGAGAAAAGAAAAGGCTGATCAAAATCGTAGGTCGATTTTGTTGTCTGACCACTTTGGATCATCGGGATAATTGCCATTTTGCTTTCACCAGACAACAATTTCACTTGATGAAAGGCGATTTTCGGACTACATGGCCGGAGTCGGTAAAATCTTATCGACTCTGGCCAAGAAAAAAGATCGACTCCGACTCCGACCAAAACTGTTGACTCCGACCGACTCCGACTCCGACTCCGCAGCCCTGCTTTTTACAAACGCCTTAGTTGATCAAACGATCAACCGCAATTGAAAAAAAAAACTACATATTTGATGAAGGAGTTCGCTGCCGAAAAGATTTCAAGTCGCTATCTTTCTTAGTTGTGCCAATCTTGGCTCAGAAAACTAAAAACGGTGATAATCCGAAACATTTCACCTCGCTCGTTCCTTGCCTCAAAAGGTTTCTTGCTGGTACCTTATAAAAGTGCGTGGAAGGAGCGGAATTTCTTCTGAATAACACCATCGTCTCGTGTTTTTTATATTTGTTGACGAATCCTCCCTTTCCAGGAATAGGTCTACAGACCCATGCGCGGCTTACGAGCTACGGGTGACATGTAACAAGAAGCCCCACAACCACGCCGTGGACAACGCTGCCGCTCTGAGACATCGACGCGTCTCTGAGCTGACGAAGGCCCGGCTGATGGAGCTGTTCCAGCACCACCACTCGCCCTCCACGGCGCTGGAGACCCTGAAACTACAGCTTCAGGAGAAGCATGGGAGCGCCTACCCGTCGGTGGCCGCAGACCGAGCCATTGTCCCAGATAGGATGGCCGTCTACTAGTAAGTTTTTAACAGCTTGATGCAAAGCCACACTGCCACAAGTTAGCAAGTCTGTAGGGACAGTATCTGAAATAATTAGACTTTCCCTATAAAGTTACACATGATTCTCATATATGAGATGCAATTGATCGTTACACGGAGCAGAGATGATAGGGCTACTCAGAAAAGAAGGCCGCATGTCTGGGATATGTGGTTGCGATCCGAGACTGATCTGGCCATTGACAATTTTTGGGTCCCCTATTGCAATCTGCCTGTTTTCGTGTCACATCCAGTTCTACTGTTATCTATGAATTGTGTTGTGCTAAAAACTCGCAACATTTTACGCTGCGATAAATGCACTCTGGTTTAGTAAAAGCTATCGATAATCATATTACGTACGCCTATGTGTCAGGGTCATTTCCGTTTTCCTGCTATTCGTGAAAAACCTGAAGGGGAATGGCGTCTAGACGCCCCCCTTCCGGCCCAGCGCAGGTTAACATTATTTTCACCTTGGATTTGTGTAATTCAATGCGCTGAGGGGTAAGCTATATTTTGATTGGGACGAATCAGGAACAAGTGGGACAGCTGAAGCTTAACCATAAGTACACTGTTATGCAATCGGTATTTTATCACAAAATGAAACTGACCACCACTTGCAGCTGGAAGTCAATTGACAATGCAATGTGTTTTCAGCCTGTACTACAAGCACTGTCGGGAGCGTTACCCAGC